ATGGTGAGAAATCAAGTGATAACAAGTCATGAGTTCAGAGAGATGCTGAGTGGAAGTTATAGAGAAGGATTCAGACTGACAGGATCAGATGTAGACATTATGTACTGGCTCTGGCTAAAAAATCACCATTTGATCTGGGAATTATCTCAGTCTCAGTATTACAATACATACACACAAGCACTGATCCTCTGTGACTGTTCTGGTAGTCCACCAGGATTAATTTGTTATATTTACTGTCACGACGTACAAACAGGAACATCCAGAGAGCATGTGTCAGAATGAATAACAGATATTATATATCTAGTTCTAAACACAGACAGATCTTTTTATCTGAGTCATCATCACCTTATAACCTTACTCCACATGGACCCTGTGCCAGTGGAACATTAGGAGCAATAAAATATGATAATGCCCCATGTTTCGTCAGTGACTTTTGGCCTCTCTCTGCCTCCTCATGGATAGACAGATGTCACTCGTGGCCCCAGCCTCATGTTGTTGATGATATGGTGAAAAATGGATGTCACTTTGTAGCAATAGGACATAAGCTAGGAAGGCATGAAGATCATGAATGGAGAATTTCTTTCTTCCAAGCAGAACAAAAACTTATGTATGTAATGGATCACTGTCAATTCTTAACTTACGGCTTACTTAAATTGATCTTAATAGAAATAATTAACAACGGAGTAGGTGATGATGATAAATTACTGTGTTCCTATCACATGAAGACGGCAGTTTTCTGGGTGATTCAACAAAATGCAATACCTCACTGGTGTCCACAAAATCATCTGGGGGGTTTCTGGGTCTGTTTTAAACTCATCCTCAAATGGGTGTATGAGGGGGTCTGTCCTAACTTTTTTTATTCCAGGCAACAACATGTTTCTGAGTAAAATTCATGGCGTCAAACAACATCAATTATATAGAAGACTGTCAGAGTTGTATGAAAAGGGTTTAGCATTCCTGCTACATAATCCCTCCATTAGATCTTGTATTATAGATGTCCTCTATAAACCCAGAAACTTCATCTGTACAGATGATCATACTCTAATTTCTGAGTATGGGTTTGATAGAAATATATTTGATGAATTACTACGTTCTTAAGTACTACTAGACAAAGTTGACATAAAAATCTGCAGTAGATATCTACATACAATAGAACAGATGATAGGTTCACCCCTCCTGACACAATATCAAGTCCTCAAGTTACAGATTATTACTGCTACTGTCCTTCAGTACACTGCTTTTATATTACACATGGAAACTTACACATCTGACAACAAACTGAGTTATAGAGCTGACAAAATGTCCTGTCACATGCTGAAATTAGCAGCCAAGTTTGGTTGTATTACAGACATGCTGCACATAGCCATGTATTATTACAAGACACTTAGATACACGGAAGCTAAATCTATTATAGAGATAATCAAGGTCAAGGTAGCACAACCATATGTAATGTATACGCATTATGTGGATACAGAGATCTATACTGAGGCTGTAGGGAGACAGTCCTGGTCTACAAAGATGAGACAGGATGTAGCAGTGGAAGTCACACTATACAATAGAATGCATTACATCAGTGAGTTGATACCAGAACAAGAGTCTGCTATACAGAATCATGAAGATGTATTATATATCCCACCCTTTATCCTGTTATACATGCTAGAGATTTTGTGCTACAGACATGTAGACACAATGCGAGCACAAACAGCTCTAGATGATCTGAAGAACCTAGTTCACTATGATCAGGGACACCTTATACCTTTACTTCTCAGAGAAATATCATGGCAGATTCTGGAGATTTGTCAACAGGTGACAGGGAACCTCCAGGCTGCTCTATACTCATACCAACAATCTCTCAGCCAAGAATCATTCCATAAAATACACATAGCTACAGAAAGGAGAATACAGAGAGTTTGCCAATGGAATCCCTTAATTAATTTAATGTCAGATGATATTTGTAGGAGTTCACCTGACAGAGATTTATCATTTACGTATCCTCTTCTAATTTCATATTTTCTTTTCTGTCTATTTTATTACATTTATTATAAAGCTAATAACTAGTCTATAATAAAATGAAAGAGGCACCATTGCTTATCGTAATTAGAGTCAAACCTGTATTAACCAGTCATCTACGGGAGACATTAAAAGTGACCTTTATAGAGAGGTGACCTTTGGATAGAGGTTCATCTTTTTAAAGGAATTTATATACAAATATGCAAGTTTATTTGTGTTTATATGATGTATGTAACTACAAAATATACAAGGAAGTTTGGTATTGGACATTAGTGATCTCACTTTTTATTTTTTTAATTTTTATTCCGCATGATTTCTGTGCATGAATTCAAACAAAATGCAATGAATCCCAGAAAATTGATAAAATATTTGTATATTGTATCTTACAAGGTAAATGCATTATCCCCCATCGAAGCAATTTTTTCTTGTGTCAGGAATGAATATTTTATGCAATGAAGAATATAAATAAAATATTATTTTATCTAAACTTGATTTGTAAAATTTACTTCTGTATATATCTTTTTTTTAAATACATGTACATGGATTGTTGTATAATAAACAGACAAGTCACTGTCAGAAATACTCAGTTGGTATTGGTATTAAATAAAGACTATTTATTAATTTTTGTTCACGATCCCGCACCGATTGACCAATTATTTACATTAGTAACAAATATTGTGAATCAGCTGACTCCAGATCAGGTCACGTGATTAGACAAAATGGCCGCTAAAGACAGGGAAAAGTGGCGATTTCACTTCAGACTGGTTTGCCTGCCTGATACTCGATATACAGACAGGTGTCATTTTGTATGAATGATACAGGAACTGCCAGTCTAATTTCGCTTGAAATTAGGTGACCGCTTTATGCAGGTGACTTCGTAATTTATCTGCCAAGAACACGCTTTATCCACCCTGAAAATTTTATAAAGATACCTTAATTCCTTTAAAAGATATGAGCCCAGTTTACGACTTTTTGGGACAACCCTCGTATAATTAATCAATAGAGCTCCGCTCTAACATCAGGACTCCTAATCCTGGGGCCATAAAGCCACAATTTTGGAAGAGGCACTCTTGCTCATCACTATATACTTAGTATATTATATACCCAGGAGCAGAGAAGAAAATTTTCAAAGATTTAATCAATGTATTTTCACTAAATAAGCATATTAGAGTCCTGCCCTAACACCAGAACCCCTGACCCTGGGGCCATAAAATTCACAATTTTGGTAGAGGCATTCTTGCTCATGATAACTATATACTTACTGTAAATCACATTTTATTCATGAGAACTTTATTTTCGCGTAAATACGTGAGACGTTTGCTCGTTAAAATTTCAACTTGTATTTAATAGAACTCCTTAAGATTATATAGAGCAATGATCACAATTCGTGACAATTTTGTCTCGCTACAAATGAGGCAATGACTGTCTAGCGAAAATAAGGTGTCATGAAAATTAAATGATCCATAGTAGTTTATTTATTTAATACCCAGGAGCAGAGAAGATTTTCAAAGAATTAATGCATTTTCACTATATAATCAATAGAGCCTCACCCTAACACCAGAGCCCCTAAACCTCAGGTCATAAAATCACAAATTTTGGAAGAGGCACTCTTGCTCATCATAACAATGCACATAGTTAGTACCCAGGGGCAGAAAAGAAGACTTTCAAAGAGTTAATATATTTTCACTATATTAATCAAATGAGCCCCACCCTAACACCAGAACCCTTGACCCTAGAGTGATAAAATTCACAATTTTAGTAGAGGCACTCTCTTGCTCATCATAACTATGTACTTAGTTATTTTATTTAATACCCAGAAGCATAGAAGATTTTCAAAGAATTAATGCATTTTAACTCTATGATCAATAGAGCCCCGCCCTATCACCAGTACATAAAGTACACTATCGCCAGTACATAAAGTTGTGACGCACGTCGACCGACGAAATCGGATAACAATTCTTGGGTAACTTGGCTACTTGAGTAACTCTCATTAATATCTAACAGCATATGAAGTTTGATGACAATATCTTAGTTTCTTTGAATCTGAGCTTTGAACTGAGCTAATTGCAAAGTGTAACAGAATGACAGAAGACGGACATAACAAACACTATTTCTCCCCGCCATATTCATGGTGGGACATAAAAAAAATTCTTAGCAATCCACAATTTTATACCTATCCTATTACATTGTATGCTTCACTTTTGCTTAAGGACAAAACTAATCCCATAGCCGGAAATATTTTCAGCCAAATATCAAGTGTTATTAATTTCAAATCTGTATCAGGAAATTTCATCAAAAGCAACAGGTGTCCATAATACATGCAGGAAACGAAATTAATAATTTGAGTTATAATGGGTAAGTAGGAAATACAACATTTGATCGAATTTGATTCAGTAAGAAAGTTTCCATAATTCCTAAGCAGAGTTAACTGAGATACGTCTCCAATGTTATATTCACTTGTCAAATTAGAATTGTAGATTTCTGATCTTGACCTCCCAATACCTATCGAGAGGAAGCTCCTTGAAGTTAAAACTGTGACTTTACACTAGCCTACACATTAGCAGAAAGGAATAGACGTCACTGAAAATGAACTCCATTAGAAGCTCACAAACGTAAGTTTTAATGACAAGAATTTATAACTGTAAAAACAATTCCTTATTCATCTGAATCAGTGTAATCAGTGTAATTTGTTGACAATAAAATTGATTTTAACTTTTTACACCACTGAATTTAAAATATAATATATATCCTAGACACTTTTAGTCACTATTTTTAAAAAAATTAATGATTTAATTGAGTTGAAAAATAACTGATTCAATTGAGGAGGTATTTTTTATATTATGATTTATGAATGTAAAAATTATCAATTATGATGATTAAATTATAGATTTACAAAAGTGAAACATTAATTATACAAGAATATAAATTCCACTTTAATCATTCTCAGTACTAAAGTCATACCTAGCATATCAGAATCTGTGTTTGTGGGACTGTGTCACATAGTGGGGACCTCACAACTGGTGGCCATGAGGAGAGATATGGTGGACATCAGTGAGATGGTGAAAAATCAAGTGACAACAAGTGATGGGATCAGAGAGATGCTAAGTGGAAGTTACAGAGAAGGATTCAGAATGAGAGGATCAGATGTAGACTATATGGAATGGCCAAATAATCACCGTGTGATCTGGGAATTATCTCAGTCTGAGTATTACAACACACACAGACAAACACTGATCCTCTGTGACTGTTCTGATAGTCCACCGGGATTTACTTTGTTATATTTACTGTCACATAGCAAGAACAGATACATCCAGAGAGCGTGTGTTAGAATGAATAACAGATATCATATATCTAGTTCTAAATACAGACAGATCGCTTTATGTGATTCATCACAACCTGGTTATAACCTTACTCCACATGGACCCTGTGCCAGTGGAACAATTGGACCAAAAGAAATTGATAATGCCCACTGTTTAGTCAGTGACTTTTGGCCTCCCTCTGCCTCCTCATGGATAGACAGATGTCACTCATGGCCCCAGCCTCATGTTGTTGATGATATAGTGAAAAATGGATGTCACTTTGTAGCAATTGGACATAAGCTAGGAAATCATTAAGATCATGAATGGAGAATTTCTTTTTCCCAAGCAGAACAAAAACTTGTGTATGTAATGAATCACTGTCAATTCTTAACTTACGGCTTACTTAAATTGATCTTAACAGAAATAATTAACAATGGAGGAAGTGATGATGATAAATTACTGTGTTCCTATCACATGAAGACGGCAGTTTTCTGGGTGATTCAACAAAATGCAATACCTCACTGGTGTCCACAAAATCTTCTGGGGGGGGGGGGTCTCTGGGTCTGTTTTAAACTCATCCTCAAATGGGTGTATGAGGGGGTCTGTCCTAACTTTTTCATTCCAGGTAATAACATGTTTCTGAGTAAAATTCATAGCGTCAAATAACATCAATTATATAGAAGACTGTCAGAGTTGTATGAAAAGGGTTTAGCATTCCTGCTACATAGTCCCTCAATTAGATCTTGTATTATAGATGTCCTCTATAACCCCAGAAACTCCATCTGTACAGACGATCATACTCTGATTTCTGAGGATGAGTGTGGTAGAAATCTATTTGGTGAAATACATCCTTACAAAATACCAGGCAAATTTGACATACAAATCTGCATTAGATATCTACATACAATACAACATATGGTAGGTTCACCCCTCCTGACACAGTATCAAGTTCTCAAGCTACAGAACATGACCGCTACGGTCCTTCAGTACACTGCTTTTATATTACACATGGAAACTTACACATCTGACAAGAAACTGTGGTATAGAGCTGACAAAATGTCCTGTCACATGCTGAAATTAACAGCAAAGTTTGGTTGTATTACAGACATGTTGTACATAGCCATGTATTATTACAAGACACAGAGATACAAGGAAGCTTTATCTATAATAGATATGATCAAGGTCAAGTTAACACAGCCTTATGTGATATGTATGGGTAATGCAAATACAGAGCTGGTGTATACTGAGGCTATAGGGGGAAAGTCCTGGTCTACAAAGATGAGCATGGAATATCACACTTTACAACAGAATCCATTACATCAGTGAATTGATACCAGAACAACAGTCTGCTCTACAGAACCACTGGTCTTTATTAAATGTACCACCCTGTATCCTGTTATACATGCTAGAGATCTTGTGCTACAGACATGTAGACACAAACAGCTCTAGATGATCTACAGACCCTAGTTCACTATCATCAGGAACAGATTATAGAGTTACATTTCAGAGACATATCGTGGCAGATTCTGGGGATCTGTCAACAGGTGACAGGGAACCTTCAAGCTGCTCTGTACTCCTACCAACAATCTCTCAGACAAGAACCATTCCATAAAATACACACAGCTACAGAAATGAGAATACAGAGAGTTTGCCAATGGATACCTTTAATTAATTAAATGTCAGATGATATTTATAGGAGTTCACCTGATAGAGATTTATCATTTACATATCCTCTTCTGATTTCATATTTTCTTGTCTGTCTGTTTTATTACATGTATTATAAAGCTAATAACTAGTCTATAATAAAATGAAAGAGGCAACATTACTTATCATAAATACAGTCAAACCTGTATTAAGCAGTCACCTACGGGAGGCATTAAAAGTGACCTTTATAGACAGGTGACCCTTGGATAGAGGTTCATCTTTTTAAAGGAATTTTTATACTAATATGCCAGCTTATTGGTGTTTATATTATGTATTTCACTACAAAACATACAAAGAAGTTATATCTTGTTAGGTATTGGACATTAGTGATCTCACTTTTAATTTTTTACTTTATTCTGCATGCCTTTTGTTGGATGAACTCAAACAAAATTCAATGAATCCCAGAAAATTAACAAAAATTAATAAAATATTTGTATATGGAATCTTACAAGGTTAAAGCATTATCCCCCATCAAAGCAACAATTTTTTCTTCTGTAAGGAATGAATATATTATGCAAAGAAGAAAATCAATGGAATATTTTTTTATCTTAACTTGATTCGTAAAATTAACTTCTGTACATTAATTTTTTTTTCAAATGCATGTAATAGATTGTTGTATAATAAACAGACAAGTCACTGTCAGATGTACTTTGTTGGTATTGGTATTAAATAACGACTGCATCTATTTATTAATTTTTGTTCACGATCCAGCACCGCTTCACCAATTATTTACATTAAAAACAAATATTGGGAATCAGCCGACTCCAGGTCAGCTCATTATGTGCCGTCAATTCAATAACGGACTAACATATCAGGAGCAGAACAAAGAATTACCTCTTTAAAAACATCAGAGATGGGATCAGGTGCCATAAATCACTATGCTGTCTTTTTTTAAATGAAAAAAATTCTACCCTAAGCATTAAAGCAGACATTCATAGCTAAAAGTTTCTTATTCAGCAGGGGTTTGTTAAAATCATAAATGTGACAATGAAACTTTATTATGAAATAATGATTATGGCTTAAAAATTTCAAAATTGTAGACTTGTTTATCGTTAAACATTTTGAAACTTCTGATGCCCTGTATCCACTTTCTATTAATTGTACGATCACGTTTTCAGTGTCGTCTGACATTTCATTGCCATGGTTTCCCATTTGGTAAACAAGGAAGTAGAGTAATAACAAAATCTAATTCACTCAAGAAAATCCAGAAAATTTAATGTCAGTAAGAGTTACTTCCCTTTTTTCATAAGAAATCGATACGACATTGTTCATCTTTCTACCAATCTTACTTTGAAGTTTTGAAGCGGCTATGAAATTCACAATCAATTCTTATTACGAACAGTATTTCAGAACTTATATTCCAAATTCATGAAAACCACAGACACTTTTATACACAGGGTTAGGGTTGTTCATGACAGCCATAATAGATGTTTTAAAAAACAACTTAATAGAAAAAATACTGTTTTCCATCATTCAAATGACATGATAAGAATTCAGAAGTTCAATTTTCATACTGTAAACAAACTTTTATTCGCGTGCTAGAAATTTTCGCAAAGTTCGCGAGGGCCTCATAATCGCGAAAATTTCTCGCCGTGATCCAGTCTTTAAAGTCTCTGTGTTAATAAAAAAACTGATATAAAAAAGGCTTGATGGCAGAAATTATTCGTCGCGAACTAGTCTTACTCCATTAAATCGCCAAATAAAGTCGTCGCAAATAAAAGTTGGTTTACAGTACCAGTCAGATCATGTAGATATTCTAACTTTTTAAAAAACACCTTAATCCTAATTTTTCAGAGGGGTTCCTGAATTTTAATTTTACATTTAACCAAAGGTAGAATTGAATTCAAATGAGAAACAGAGATAGTGCTGATTTTAAAAAGTAAAATTTAACTTACGTGCCTTGTATGTAAATTGATTTCCTATCAGAAAATCAGAAGGTATACCAGGCTTTATTGAAAGAAATGTCTTAGACAAGTTGAATAAGAAAAGATCATATGCATATGTGGGTAGATTTTTTTATGAGGAATTTGATTTAAAATTCATTGACTTTTTGTTAAAGACAGTGTCCACTGGGAAATCAATTTCCTGAAACATTGTTAACTTCTAAAATTTTTGTCTTCTTTAAATGCTGACACATAAAATAAGTAAAAAAGTATAGACCCTTTCATGTAAAATCTTACTCTGTTTGATAATTGACAGTAGATTTCACAATTTTCAGCCAGCCTCTTATAACACAATCCTATAACATGAACTAATCATCAAAAGAAATCAATTCATGATAAAAACTCAAAGTTCAATTTTGATCACATTTATGGAAGATATCCTGTAATTACAGTGTAGCGAATCGTCGAGGGACAAAAAACCATGTGGCGAAATTATTGCTTCGCAGTATAGTTAAGGCAACACATGAAAAAAATATGGTAATGAGGTCATCATGAGGTCTGACGTCAGGACAGTTGCTCCGCCCTGATTGATCCATATTAGGAAATAGTGCTCAAAATAACTGTTTACCGGTATTTGCAAGACTTTGTAATAAACAGCAAGTATTTTCATGTTGAAATGGAAAATAATTAGTGATTTTCTCGTATATAAAATAGCATGTCTTTAAAATAATTCTCTTTTTAATGTGTCGTTTGTCTGCATTCGGCTTCAGCCAAGCGCTTGCACTCGGTGACACTCGGTGACACGGAATATTGTTTACATCTTAAAAGCGTGGCGACATCAGCTGAGATTTGCAGTGGATTTAAATGCAATAACCACACAATCTTTAAAGAAAATTGGGATAAAATAAGAGACAAGGCATTGCTTCTCCCTTTTACGAGAATGAGGACATTATTTCGGAAAATGTCAGAAAACAGAGACGACGATTTGCACCAGCTCCGTAGATCCATCACTGTAATATTCCAGGCCAGGTATGTATGCGCATATGTAGGTACATGTATAGATCTTCAATATGTATTCATGCTTTTATCAACATCAAAGAAAAACCCCGAGTGTGTGCATGTTCATTTAGATGTATTATTTATCACAGTCAGTGAAAAATTGTAATGCATTGCCTTGTGTATACCCCCCCCCTCCCCCTCTATACTAAGTTGCACACTTAATGACTTTAAAATTATTAAAATTTAACTGCACTAAATATGTACTGAGTTCTTGTCAATTAGCTCATTTTCTTTGAGAGAATATGTGTAGTAATGGAGGTCATCAAAACACAAATTTAAACTAAATTAAATGAGATGTTTTCATTGTTTCAGCTAATGATCCACTAGTGACTATAGGCCTAAACAAGCAATGATCATGTCTTTTGACAAACATGCTACACAATTCAAAAAAATTATCAGTGTCATTATGTTGAAATCATAGAACCTCAACTGCTTGTAATTTTCTGGAATTTCTAAATTAATGAAAAAAAATATTCATTTTTTGTTTAGATTACATGTATATTAAAAATATTTGTATAATACTTTTATCATTGTAGCTGTCCAGAGTTTCAGGCTTAAAGAACATGGAGAATGAATAAATAAAATATGTATCATTTCTCCACAGGGTATGTATACTTCTAATTAAAAGCATTTCACATTTTTAAAGTATGTATGTGTTATATAATTTTGTTTTTTTTTTTCATTTTGGTAATGGTGAAACTCAGAATTTTGTTTAGAAAATATTCTATCAATAACTGTTGTAAATGTCAGAAGTTTCACTTTCCCAGAGAAGTTTTGTAACACATTT